TTCAAAGATAGTATTTAAAATTGTGTATGAAACAAAATACATAGACCCGAGTGAGCCGGGCCGAAATGGAAGGCATTGTTGCGCAATATACTCCGCGCCGTGGCAGGCGGGGAGGGATTGTCAATGCAAGGAGGGGTGCCATTGTTTACGCCCGGTGCCGCTGGCGCTGTACCGAGGAGGGATTGTCGAATTCCGCGCAGGCTGCGCCTCATTGCCAGCCAGCCAGCCAGCCACACGCACCAGCCCGCCCCGGCCGCCAGCCCCTATTATATTGTTAGGATACGCGCTTTTCTGGACTCGAGAGTAAAAGCACGCTGACACCTTCATTTGTGTATAGTAGTTTTAAGTATGTTTCAAGTGTGAAGGTATCATCTGCTAAAAATCGGCGGCAAAAAGTGGCAATACGAAAGTCTCAAGGAGACCCGCCGATCAGCTTCGGTGTTCTTATGGGAACCGGGCCTTCATCCGACGCTCCCTGCCGCGCAATTCGACAGATTAGTGGGTTCGTATTAGGCTGGCCCACCCGAAGTGCGCGCGGTTTCTGTGGTACAGTGAGAGTCCAGATTCAGAGGCCTTACCTCAGAGGGGTCACATTGGGTATTTGAACCCGCGACCCCGAGTGCCGAGTCTAGTCAACTCCTCTACCCTGACCGCTCAGCCACCGAACCAGCTTGTCGGCGGCGATGTCGCAACTCCTCTTGAGCTGCCGTTCGAGAAATCTGGTCCCGAAAAAATGGTACTTTGAGCGGTCTCGAACCCGGGACCTGCTGCTTCCCACATCATGCTCTTAACCACTGAGCCACCGGGACGCCATGGCACCCGCCCTGCCTGCGCTGGTACTCAATCTTCTCTGGATATACCTCCCCAAGCAATTGGTCGCCGAAAAAATTGTGTGTACTACCGGTCCCGAACCCGGGACCTGCTGCTTCCCACATCATGCTCTTAACCACTGAGCCACCGGGACGCCATGGCACCCGCCCTGCCTGCGCTGGTACTCAATCTTCTCTGGATATACCTCCCCAAGCAATTGGTCGCCGAAAAAATTGCGTATACTACCGGTCCCGAACCCGGGACCTGCCGCTTCCCACATCATGCTCTTAACCGCTGAGCCACCGGGACGCCATGACACCCGCTCTGCCAGCGCTGGTACTCAATCCTCTCCGAATAAACCTCGTCAAGAAGTCGGTTGCCTCTGCCGAAAAATATGGTCATGGTACTAGTCTCGAACCCGACCTGCCAGTCAGGAACGCAGCACTCTAACCACTGCGCTACTTGGTTGCTACGCACAGCGCTCACCCCATCGCCGAAGTTATTATTTGTCCAGCATCAAGCAAGATGGGTGGCTATTGAAGTTTGGCGCTAGGTTAGTGGCGTGCATACCAACCTGGTAGCGCCGTGGTTAGGGTGCTGCGTTCCTGACTGGCAGGTCTCGGGTTCGAGGCTAGTGCCATGAGCATATTTTTCGCCGGAGGCAACCGACTTCTTGACGAGGTCTATCCAGAGAGGAATAAGTACCAGCGCTGGCAAGGCGGGTGCCATGGCGTCCCGGTGGCTCAGCGGTTAAGAGCATGATGTGGGAAGCGGCAGGTCCCGGGTTCGGGACCGGTAGTATACACATTTTTTTCGGCGACCAATTGCTTGGGGAGGTATATCCAGAGAAGGTTGAGTACCAGCGCAGGCAGGGCGGGTGCTATGGCGTCCCGGTGGCTCAGCGGTTACGAGCACGTTGTGGGAAGTGGCAGGTCCCGGGTTCGGGACCGGTAGTACACACAATTTTTTCGGCGACCAATTGCTTGGGGAGGTATATCCAGAGAAGATTGAGTACCAGCGCAGGCAGGGCGGGTGCCATGGCGTCCCGGTGGCTCAGTGGTTAAGAGCATGATGTGGGAAGCAGCAGGTCCCGGGTTCGAGACCGCTCAAAGTACCATTTTTTCGGGACCAGATTTCTCGAACGGCAGCTCAAGAGGAGTTGCGACATCGCCGCCGACAAGCTGGTTCGGTGGCTGAGCGGTCAGGGTAGAGGAGTTGACTAGACTCGGCACTCGGGGTCGCGGGTTCAAATACCCAATGTGACCCCTCTGAGGTAAGGCCTCTGAATCTGGACTCTCACTGTACCACAGAAACCGCGCGCACTTCGGGTGGGCCAGCCCAATACGAACCCACTAATCTGTCGAATTGCGCGGCAGGGAGCGCCGGATGAAGGCCCGGTTCCCATAAGAACACCGAAGCTGATCGGCGGGTCTCCTTGAGACTTTCGTATTGCCACTTTATGCCGCCGATTTTTTCGTTTTTTTGTTGAATATTTTTATTTAATTTTTTTATTAGGTAGGCGAACTATAGGTAGGCGAAAAATGGCAATATTTTATTGAATATTTTTATTCAATATTTTTATTAGGTAGGCGAAATATAGGTAGGCGAAATAGACAGGTAGGCGAACATTTAGGTAGGAGAAATGATTTAGACTCTAACGCTAGAGGGAATTAAAAAAAAACAATGGAGAAATCTCACTTAGTTTAGTTTTCATCGGGTGATACGTCGAAAAACATGTATTTTGGTTTAAATATTTATCCGATCGGACCGCCGGAAGTGGTCCCGCAGGGCATTTGAAGGTCAAAAGTTCAAAATCACCGAAATTACTTTGAGGGGCCGAAACGACCCAAAGTAACGCGGTGGTGCCCATAAATTAACTTAGAAATTTAAATAAAACATTAGCCCACTCCTGAAACGAAACAGAGAAATACACTGTTAGAAATCAATTCGGAATTAACAAAGGAAAATGTGGCAAAAAAGTTGTAAATTCACGAAGATTGTTCGTGTGAAACGAAGAATCATTGGGAATTCACGACGAATGTTCACCGATGTTCACGATTTCAAGAAGAATCTTTGTAAATCACCGAGGACCTTCGTAAATTACCAAGAATCTTTGGAAAATTACAAGGGTGCAGTCGGCCACATTTTTGCCAAAGGCCCCTTCGTAAATGCCAGAGATTAATTTTTACAGTGTATGTTGTTACACTAATTGACGGCGAATCAATGTCGGAGAGAAGTAAATTTGTGTAAGTCACCCACTTATGAGTCATGAACGAAATCAGAGGACGTGATTAGGAATACCGAGTCATGGTGTCATTTCATGTCGTTCCTGAGAGCCCAGGCTTGATATGATGAACTACCTCAAGGGCGTCATCGCACTCATACAAGTGCGTAGACAGTCAAAAAACACCAAGTGCTTTGGATTATTTGGGTTGAGAAAAAAAATGAAAGCGTTGCTCAGGCTGCCAGATTAGATAATACATAAATTAAAAAATGAGAAATTTGCGAAATTATCATTAAAATTGTGTGAATTCCATTTTAAATTACCAAAATGGGAAATTTGCGAAATTATTATTAAAGTCGCGTGAATTCCATTTTAAATTACCAAAATAGGAACACCGTGCAATGTGACTAGTTCCCTACTTGACCAGCCACACTTCACAGCCGATGGGGGCCGAGAGCATAGAGGCGTTACCACGAAACAACGAGGTTGGTTGTTCAAGCCCCGCCATTTTCTTGCTCTTGCCTGGCTTCATACTCAACAAACTGAAGTGTGCACTCAGTATGCGTCTTCAGATGCAAGTACACACCTGTAGATGCATTCTTGGCAGAGTATCCAAGTACGCATCTGTAGACGTGTTCTCATCCAAGAATGCATCTGTAGATGTGTACTCAGCCAAGTATGCATCTGTAGGTGTGTACTTGCAAGTATGCATCTGTAGACGTGTAATCATCCAAGAATGCATCTGTAGATGTGTACCCAGACCTAACCTAACCTAACCTAACCCATACTACAACCTAACCTAACCTCAACCCAGTCGTACGACCCCAAACCAGTCGTACAACCTCAAACCAGTCGTACAACCCAAAACCGGTCGTACGACCCAAAACCAGTCGTACCACCTCAAACCAGTGGTACGGCCGTTTAGCAGTCGTACGACCGAAAATCAGTCCTACGACCCGAAACCTAACCTAAACCAGTCGTGGGGTGAGGGGGTAGGACTGTTCGTAGCTTACTCGTCTGGCGTGTCACGCCGTCCATCCCCTTCCTTCCCCTCCCCCTCCTTCTCCTCTTTCCTGTATACAGGCCAGACAAACTTAGAGGGTCTCTAAACAATTTGCAGTTTGAAGGCTCGAGCCTCCTCGACTAGCCAGGACGCGGCGTTCGCATGGCGAGGCAGCTTTATGCAGTCGACGCCACAACTGTTGACCAGGTTTATAGCACTTTCAGGCGATGTTCAGCTGCTTTTAGTGGATGGAAAAGAAGCACACATACATGAGAAATGCAATCAGGCGGCTCGGTTTTAAAGGCAAGCTTTAAGTCTCTAGACCCTTAGGAAAAGTTTAACAGGACAACATTTGTGTCGCCAACTGAGTGTTTGTTTTCCACCTGGTATTAACACCAACACGCTTTACTCAAGCATGTATGAGCCGGATCTATGGATTTTAATAGGCTGAATAAAATCAGGCCACCAAAATTTACATTCGCTGAGTTTTAAAGGTGCCGACCCAGTGCCGACCAATCATGGAGCGGCGTAAGACATCGCTGGCCGTCTGGGCATGAAGCAGTTGGTCTATGGATATATTTGACTGTCTAGAGTTTGAACCGCAGTCGCCGCGAGCAGAAGGGCGTCGGATCCCGACATCAGAGTTCGGGGTTCGGCACTCCGCTGGTTGGAACTATTTTGACCCAGGTAGCATCGCACCAAAGCGGTTCAAGTACGTATACAAAATCGGTCGAACAGGCGCGCCGCATAACTTACTTCATCACAACAAGTTTCAAAGCAAAGAAGCCTTCCTGGCAAACATGACCAGATTTGTTTAAAAAGGTGCTCATTCTTGTGCGCACAAAGGTGCCTACGACGTGAAATTAACAGTGCGATCCAATGACCGTGCACCTTAAAGTGAAGTATGAAGTGAAGTGGAAATGACGGCTATCTGTATTTTGCTTTCGAGGCGGCTTGTTGACTTTAAGCGGGCAGATGTTCCACAGCACCTGAGTACCCTATCAGATTCCTTCAAATAGCGAGTAGCCCGGTCCACTCCTCAGTCTACTCTCAGTCGACACCGCAAAACCATGGCTCGTGCTCTGTTCATCGTCCTCGCCCTGGCGGCGACTGCCTACGCCGTAAGCTGCGTGCCACATTACTTGCGGATTTTTTCTTTCCTTTTTTCCTCGGTGAAACCGGGTGCAACGCGGACACCACAAAAAAACTACTGAGTCTCGTTTTGAATTCACTTCTAAGTAGAGGGAGCAATGTCCCTAATGCATCACGTTTTCTGTGCAGGACGAGTATGCCTTCAACCAGGTGGACGAGATCGTGGCCCGGCTCAACGTGTGCCTGGCCCCAGTGCCCCAGAGCCCGTCCAGCTTCTACACGCTAGAGACCTAGAGACTGACGGAGAAGCGCGGGCGCCGATAAGCGCACCAACAGTTTCTCATACTCCTCGCGCGCGGCCGGAGAGCTGTTTCATATTCCAGACAAAATGGCGGCGCACGCACTTAACGGCTAGAGAAGGTTTTTCGGTCACAGCTTCCAAACCGTTCTAGATAGAGGGGTATAGTAAGCGAGCCGATTGTAGGTCTCTGTACAAGCTACAATCGGCTCGCTTACTGTACCACTCTAACTTGAACGGTTTTCGAGCTGTGGCCGAAAAACTGTTCCGGTTGTCTGCTGCGCTCCGCCTGGCCCCACCTTACCGCACCGCTCTCCGCTCCGCTCCCTGTCCCCTCCCCGCTCCCCTCTGGGCCGGCCCAGACAAAATGGCCGCCAGCGCGCGACGGCGCCCGCGCTTCTCCGTCAGCCTCTAGGTCTCTACTACACGCCGGCCGCGAATTGCATCATGAAGGCTCGCTGGAGCCTGGACGACGGCAACACCAAGGAGTCCCTCTCCGGCTCCATCGCCAAATGCCTGGCCCGCCAGCGTGTCAACGCCGGCATCGTGGCCACCGCCCAGAAGTGCCTCCGCGAGTCTCTCGCCAAGGACCTCAAGCCCGCCCTGGAGGAGGTCAGTTTCAATGACACCGTGGCATGCAATCTTTTCTTGTTCTGGGAGTTGACGTTTGGTGCTGTTTGCAGTCCGACTACTCCGCTGAACAGCTGGACGAGATCAGCAGCCGCATCCGGGCGTGCCTGACCTCCATCCCGGAGACCGAGTATCACACCCCCGCCTCCGACTGCCGCAACAACGCCCTCATCGAGGCTGGGGAGGGCTACCCCAAGGAGAGCCTGGTGGACTTCATCATCCCCTGCCTGAACGGCAAGAGCATCGCTGCCCCGGTCGTGTCCGCAGCACAGCAGTGCATCACCGCGGCTCTCGCCGAGCCCCTCTCTGCCTAGGGTCTCACCACCATTGTCGATATCAACAATAAATGTTCAAAATAAGTCCCTCTTTTCTTTAATGTCTTAAGAAAGTGGTGTTTTTGGCTGACACATGTGGCTAAGAATCATTCACGCCCTACCCAAGGACCAAACCAAGAGTTCCTGCTTTATAGAAGTTGGCGCAGTGAAAAAATGTTGCGCCTGAATCATGTTGATAAGGTGCAGCTGGCCCCGCCTCGGCCGCGCGGATATCGCTGGAGCGGCGCGGTGGCGGTGGGGGCCTCGCTATCTTGCACAGTGCAATGCTGCGAGCGCACCGCGGTGGAGGCGCGGCCGCCCCGGGCTTGGCGGCGTGCCTCGCGGTGTGCTTGTTGGCGCGGCGCGTCGTGGCGAACGCGGACCCGCAGTGTCCGGAGGACCACGTCCAGTGCAAGACGCAGAAACGCAACGGCTTTTCGTACCACTGCGTGGCGCCGTCCCTCACCTGCGACGGCTACGAGGACTGCCAGAACGGTCAGGATGAGGAAAACTGCCGGGGCCGGTGCCAGGGCGGCGCCAGGGAGTGCGACGGGCGGTGCATCTTGGCCGCCTACTGGTACGCCGTCGAGCCCCCCCGGAACCTGCCGTGGCCGTGGCCTGCCCTTGTTGCATTCAAACAGCTGTTCCTGTGACCAAGGTGTGACGGCGTGAGGGACTGCGGGGACGGCGCGGACGAGTCCTCTTGCGCTCCGGGCGTTCCCGACGACCGCGACCTCGAGGAGTGCCAGCCGCGGGGGCCACGCGGGGCACCGAAACGGCCAGGGGTGACGGTCAAGCGTCGAGGCGTCCTGCAGTGCGACGGCCGCGTCGACTGCAAGCGTGGCTTGGACGAGAATAGCTGCACCAAGCCGTGGCAGTGCAGGGCCGGCGCGACGCACTGCTTGAGCTCGGGCGGGCGGGCGCGCTGCGTGCACCCTAGCGCACGCTGCGACGGCTTCTGGGACTGCGATGACGGCAGCGACGAGAGTGGCTGCGCACAAGGCGAGGACTTTGCAAAACCTGCCCAAAGCATGAAGAGGAACAAAATGCATGTCTAGAAGCGTAGCACACAAATTTTGCGGCTGGAGGCTTCATACTCAGCGGTGTTAACCTTGCTTATAACTTGTTTGTGACTACAGATATGCCTAGATTCACTGTCCCCCCCAAGTTGACCACTCCAAGTGCAGTGCCCACTCCTCCACCAAGGGGCTGGCATCCTGGGAGCGAAAGAGAGGTGACTCGCCCTGCCCCCGTCGCGTCGTCAGCTGATGTGGTGCCCGCTGCCTCTCCGGGGGTCCAGCGCATCCAGCGCATCCAGCCCATCCAGCCCATCCAGCCCATCCAGCCCATCCAGCCCACCCAGCCTACCCAGCTGGACCAGGCGGACCCCCTGTACGCCCCTAGCAAGGCCCCTGGCTCGGGAGGTGCGTGTCAGTAAAGCTCGTAACATGACTCACATGACTGCAACTGTGGACGCTCTTAACAACTTGTCGCGGTGCACAGGGCTCCTGGTGGTCCAGGACGGCATCCCGGTGTACGCGTGGTTCGTGATCCTGGCCCTGGTCAAGATCCTCCTCGGCCTGGCGTACTTCGGCTTGAGACAGTGGTGCTCCAGGTAATGGCGCGCAAAGTTTGCTCTTGCTCAGCGGGCCTTTGGAAGCACAGCGCCACAATTCGACTTCGGTCTTTCAGTCGCAGGGCGAAGGACGACCAACAGGGCGTGGAGAAGGCGGTCTCCTTCGTTTACGTGGGGAGCAGTGCAGAGCAGACAGCCAACAGCCAGCCCCGACCCCAGAACCTGGTGCAGGTCCAGGTGAGCTCTTTTCCTTACCTTCTTCGGTCCCTCCCGACCGCCGCTCAAGTGATGCACAAGTCTCCCTCCTCCAGGAGGACAACGACTTGGTGGACTTGCTGACGCCCTGCGTCGTCCCCGTCGTGACGCAGCCCCCACCCCTGCAGCCGCAGCGCTCCCTTCCGGGCGAAACCGTCTACGAATCGCTGCGCGCCGCCACCAGGCCCGGCGTGGACCTGCTGCTGGCCACCCTGGAAGACGTCGTGTACTCCACGCCAAGCATCCACGTCTAGCGGTGCGCGCGAGTATTGCACAGACAAATGGGATATGTGCAGACCGCTAGGAACATCGAGATTCCCCTCGTTGCTCGATTCTGGACCGAAGTGATGATAGTGACTGACTCGAGTCGGGCCGATGCATCTCCGCGAACGGTGCTCCGTGGCGATAGGCAACCCATCCGGCGCGGAACGGTCGCCCTGCCTGCCGTCTACTTGTTGAACCTACGGAAGCTGGTGGCGTGCCGGCTTGTTGTGCAGTTTATCTCAGGAGGTCGTCTTACAAGAATTCAACACTATTTTCGTGTTTTCTGTTTTTATTTTAATAAATTATTTACATTAGAAAGGACAGTTGAGGGGAAGGGGGAGTGTCAGGTACTTAGAACTGCTTGTACTGCTGGTACCTCTGCTGGCTCTGCTGCTGCTGGTACTGCTGGAAGGCGGGCTGGCGCACCTGCTGCACCTGCTGGACGGGCTCGTCCTTGGGCAGCGGGGGCAGGGTCTTGACGGCCTTGGCGATGTCGGCGGGGACGGCCGGCGGGTTGGGCAGATGGGCGCCGGACGCGCGGAAGCCGAACTCGTCGGCGATGTAGTTGACGGTGTAGGTCTGGCCGTCGTCGCCGACGTACGAGTAGGAGCCGGTGACGGCGGGCACGTGGTGGGGCTCGTTCTTCTCGTCGCGGATCTCCTTGATCTTGGCGTCCTCCTGGATGTTGATGCCGTGCTCGGTGCCGTAGCTGCAAGCGAGCAGAAGGTCAGCGCGTTTCGGCGAAGAGTCCAAGGTCAGCGGTTCAAATACCACACCTCGCATACATTTTTTTGTCAAACAGCAGCCACTGTCCTATTACATAATTATTGAAACAAAACTGAAAAAGATCCAGGGGTCTTCACTCCACGGTACTGAGCGTGTGGAGCCTCCTGGTCTTATTCTGGCATTCGAGTTTCTGTTCCATTCTACGACGCGGCCGGTCCCTGTTGACCCGGCAAGGACGCCCCGCCGCCCCGCGGACGGCCGTAAAGGATGCCATAATCAGGACCAAACAGGACAGGTCACGAAAGGAAGTGAAATAATCCTTTCGCTCTCTATTTTTATTGCCGGGCAGGCAGCACAAGCAGCGGACTCGATTATCCAAGTCCAAACAAGGCGATTTGCTTCGGTTCACGACCTGTTTGCGGTAAATGCGTCACGTCCTCAAGTCTTGAATCGAGACTGGGGTCCAGGGATTGCGTAATGTCGTGGCCGCCGTGCGTTACCTTTTGGCCGGCCGGCCGGGCCGGGGCGGTGCCTGCTGGCAGCATGCTGGCGGGCTGACTGTGACTCACCTGAACTGGTAGTCGCCGGCGGGCTGCACGTTGCGCTCGAAGCTGGTGATGGCGATGGGCGGCAGCACGGGCTTGCTGGGCTGCACGTACTGGCTCACCGACGCCTGCAGAGCACACACCGCGCGTCAGCTACGACTCCCCTTTCTTCTACACCCTCAAAGCGTGCGGAATCGCCCTCACCTTCTGCTGCACGACGGGCTCCTCGTACTGCTGCTTGCTGTACACCGACTTCTGGGCGGAGTTGTAGTTGTTGAACTGGGGGGCAGCCGAGGCCACGGCCAGCATGGCGGCGAAAACCTGCGCATGGGGGGTGGCCGGTGGTGAGTCCTTAAGCGCGTCGACAGCTAGCTGCTCTCTCAGCACATTCACTCTTTAAGAAAATCCCCCATCCAAGGTAAAGTCCCTGGATTTGTCAAATTGCCTTTTCCTTTGGGGGCTGCTGCGCTGGTGGGTACTCACAAGGGACTTCATGTTGCTGGGACGCGTCTGCCGGCGAGGACTGGAGTCGAGTGCCCCGCTCCGCCTCCGGGCCGCTTTTATACGAACACCACTGCGGCGGGCGCGCGCCGCCACGCCGCCACGCCGCCACGCCGCGGCAGGGGCCAGGCCGCCAGGCCCTGGGCGGCCTCCACGCCTGCCCTGCTTAGTGCTTCGCCGAAAATAAGATGAGCAGGAGGCGGCAGCGCGGCTCCGCGAACGAGGCGGATCCACCGGGGACCGCCGGGGACGGCACATTAGCGCAGGAACCGCGACATCCCCAAGCCGGCGTGGGGGTGCGCCGTGTGCGCCCAATGGACGAGGGTGGCAATACCCTCTTAATGCACCTGTATCTTTTGGTCCAGAACACCGGGTTCTTACCGAGGGGGAAATCACTCTTATAACCTGTGACCCGACTACTCCCTATTACGCTCTATTACGCTATCACAGAAGGCTTATTACGCTCAAAAATATCCAGATTTAGGCTAAAATCGGACCCTAAACAGGGCAAATTTTAAGAAATTTGGCTATTACGCTATTACTATTACGCGTAATACTTGGAGTCGGTGACCCGACTATTGCGCGAGTGATTTCCCCCTCGGTTCTGACAAAAGTTTTGGGAAGTCTTGATAAGACACATCTTCCGTTTTTGTCTGTTCGCCGAGACATATTGAAAATATGAAGACAAGGTTCGAAGAAGGGAAGAATGGAAATGAACCATGACAAGCGCCCCGTGTAGGTGGCCGTTCATACTTCGCGGCCCTGCGGCGCCACAGGGGGGCCATTGTCAACCGAAGCAGCTAGCGGGAAATTAACAAACCAATTGCGCAACGAGGATGCCACATAACGGCTGCTGGCCCAGGCAGGCTGCAGGCTCGGTGCGAAAAGCAGCGACGACGACAAAGATTCTTTTTTTCCGCCGCCTCGGAAAGAAAGGCGTGCATGCGAGGCGGGGCGGAGTCCACGGCCTCCCAGCGTCCTGCAGTGCCGATTTCACCGTAATGACGCGTGCGACGAGCGACACGAGCATCGGCCACTGCTTGGCGGCGCGCGGGGCGGCGCGGACGGCGAGAGCAACAACCTGGCAGTAGTTAGCCTGCACGCCGCGGCACGCCGCTACGCCGGTTAGTGACGAATATCGTCCGGGAACTTTAACCTGCCCGGCCCTGTCGCCCTGCCGCCTCCTGTGCCATAGGCATCCCGGCATCGGCGTGCTCGGGCCCGGGCCGCCCGGTGTCGAAATTGGCGCTGACGCTGGCGGTAAATCTGACGGGCTGGGCGAGGAGGAGCGCGGTGGAGCGCGGCGAGGCGGCATCTGGCCTTTCGGGTCGGCACGTTGGCACCTTCCCAGTCGCCGGGCTGCCGGGCCGCCGGGCACAGTGTATGATCCGGGGCCAATTTTTCGGCACCCGTCCACAGACACGTGCGCGTCAAGTCGCGTCAAGGTGCCGGGGGACCCGGTCTAGCTTCGATTTGTGTCGCGCCCACGCGCTCCGCACCACTCTCGTCGCCCTCCAGGCCGTGCTGTGCTGGCCGGGCCGGGGGCAGCCGGGGCCATCTGGGGGCAGCCCGAGAGCCTCGACGAGCACGCCGGGGGGACAATAGGGCGGTGGGCGCGCGTCCACGCACCTTGCTGACGTCCCGCGTCGCACCGCCGCACGGTTCGCGGCACGGCACGGCACGGCGGCGTGGCACGCAGGGAAATACTTGACATGATTAGATTAAGGACGACCACGCTGTCCTTGAGAAGTTCCATGTCGAAAGGGAATGAAGACTCGACGACGGGCCGGTCGAGCTGGGCCGGGCAGCAGCCGCATGCAGGGCGAAGCGCTTGCCCCGCCACGCCCCGCCACGCCCCGCCACGCCCCGCCACGCCCCGCCAGTCACTGACACGCTGACACACCGTGAGCGGGGGAACACGTACACAATAAAGTTTTACATGAAGGGTGCCTGTCATAAGCGGGAAATAAAAGGAACTCAAGCGGAGCCGCCCCATTATCGAGTCACTCACTGGTCACTGTAAAACTGAGGAAAGACGGCTCCAACAGCGCTCGCAGTCCCGACCTCCGTCCAAGGAGGGACCTGTCTTTTCAGATTGATAGAAAGAAATTAAAGAAATGGCGGGATCTCGGGATGGCCCGAGGAGGCCACGCTCTGTCGCTGACTCCCACTGGGGCCCACGCGGCCGCCGCCGGGGAACCCTGCTCCTGCTGGCCCGGGCTGGCCCTCCCGGGCAGACGGCGCGCACGGCGGACCCGCCCGGTCCCCAAGCCGTATTGTGTCAGGTAACTGGACCATTGAAAGCAAACGCGTACGTTTCGTTGAGTGAGATGCTGTAACCTACCGGCCAGCGTTGCCACGTGAGTCCGACTGCGCATGTGTGAGTGCGTGAGCGAGAGGGATAGCTCTCTCCCGCGATGCGCTAAACGCGTCGATCCGCGACGCTGCGTGCCCTGCGTGCAACGCGCGGCTCTTCCTGCTTCCTTTCCAGCATTCTTCATTTGCGCGAAACACAGATCTTCTACCTCGCTTCAAAGTGCATCGATCTATCCACCTGGTTGGGTCAACAGGTTTGGTTCTTTGCCCCACGTCCCTGAGTCCCCAATCTCTGGCTCTGGTATCCACTGGCGCTTCCAGAAGTATCCCAAAATTTCTTGGGATGGGTCCGGCTTCGACGAGCAGGGCACTTCGACCTACGTACCTCGACCAGACCCCGAGCGGGTAGGCAGCCGAACTGCACGTAACAGCTCCCGGAGTCGGTGACGTCACGAAAGGTGAACGACGTTATCAGAGCGCCGCGGGCAAACCGAGCGTGCACGCGTGCGGGTGTGAACGCGCCTTGGCGTGTTGGCAGGGCTGTAAGCGTGCGTGCGAGCGTGCGTGCCAACCTGGCAACACCCGGGGCTCGCTGGCCATGCGCGTCGCCGCGTCGCCGCGTCGCCCAGACAGCCGTCCCTCTCCCACTGGCCGGGCACGCAGGGGCCCCGACTCGGACGCCTCCCCGCGACGCCCCCCGCGGAGGATCCCGAGGGAACCGGTTCCCGGAGGATGTTCGCGAGGACCTGCGAGTGCACCGGCACAGCGCGTGGAGTCCGGGGACGACGCGACGCGACGCTGCAGCGCGGCGGTCTAGCGGTCCGCCGCGGACTGCGAGCCGGCTGCGAGGACCCGGAAACACGGAACAGGACCAAGTTGGAGGATGGCCACTGGCAGCCCTGGCCGAAGCCCTGAGCGAGGCCCTGGCCCTGGGACGGAGCGACGTTACTATAAGTTTGAAAAGCTGTGTCACCAGCGAGGAGAGGAACCCGCCGCAGACCGCAGCACCGTTCCCCTGCCTTTCCGCGCACTTTTACACCCATCCGCGTAGCCTAACCAAGGACCAGCTCGGACTCACCTTGTTTCCCATTCACTCGGGCTGCAGAATGAGGTGGAAAGCAGACGACGCTCTTCGGCCCATTTACGTCGTTCCGGCTGTGAGGCTGTGACCGCACCGGAGCCGTTGGCCTTGAACTTGTGGGACGACTTTTGTTTTCCGCGGGCCGCAGGCACCCCGGCCGGACCCCGCCGGCCTGGACTCTGGCCCCGGCGCCCTGGAGCCCGACGCACTGGCGCCGAGAGTCGTGGAGTGGGAGGACGAGAAACGGGGATTGGGCCATTTTTTTCGGACGGAATCCTCACGCACTTACGTCGCCAGATCCGTCTAGACTCTCTGAGTGATCTTTCGGTGTCCCTTTATCTATTTGCGCCGGGAAAGGCGTATCTTGATTACAACACAAACTCGGTTACAAGTGCAGTTAAAGATGTCCACGGAAAATATCGAGCCACCTGAAACACATTCGTAGGATCAAAAGTCCGAAATTCTAAAACAGGTTTGAAACAAAGGGTCGGAAAGGGTGGGGGGGAGACGAGCCGATTTGCGGTTCCCGGCTGCGTAAGGAAGAACGAAAAAGTGCGAGCAGAAGCGAGCGGCTGCAAGCTTGCTTTCTTGGGTAGCTTGGGTCTCGCAGCGCCGTGCGGGTAGGCAGCCCAACCAGCGCCCGCGCTTTAAGGGTGCACTGTGGCTACGGAGTAACCCCATACATTTGGCCTTGCTCCACCTTACTTTTGAAATCCAATTTTAATTTTGTGAAATTTGTTTGAATCCCGACGTCTTTGACCCGGACCGGTGTCTTTTTAAAGCGTCGTTGCATCAAAAACTCGGTTTTTTCCGGTGTGCTTGTCTTCTGCCTTCATTATAGAATCTGTTTACATATGAGGCGTGATGGGTTTGGATGTCCCCTCGGCTCCCTGCCAGCCGCCAGCCGTGCTCGGGTCATCACGCCCGCCCCACGGGGTCAGACGGCCGTAGGACACCGCGGTAACCCGGCGGGCCGAGCGGCGGGCCACTGGACGTCGTGCTCCGGAGGGTCACCTCTGCGACCCGCACAGTACAGTACCGCCCCCAAATACCCAAATAGCGCGTAATATAAAAGGAGCGGAATTCGGACGTCCGGCAACAGTCGCCCCGTGACCAGCAACCACTCAGCATCACCATGAAGTGTGTGGTGAGTGCAACCCCCAGCGACCCGGGTACTCTACGGCCCTACCATTGTCCAGAAGAGACTCAGTCGCCTCGCCTTTCCAGATCGTCGCCGCCCTGGTGCTCGTCGCCGACGCCGCCGTGCAGCCAATGATGTCCGTGATGCCCATGCACTCGGCCATGCCCATGCACATGTACCAGGCCATGCCCATGCACAAGGCTATGCCCATGTACTCGGCCATGCCCGTGCACATGCACTCGGCCATGCCCATGCACATGCACAAGGCCATGCCTATGGCTGAGGCCCGGTGGGGACAGCCCGCGCAGGCCATGGGCCGGGAGGCCAACGCCGAGATCGTGGAGCACGCCGTCGACATGAGCGAGCCCGGCCGCTACATGTACCGCTTCAGGACCAACAACGGCATCGCCATGATGGAGCAGTACGCCATGGACAAGGACGCCGCCAAGGTGCAGGGCGCCTACGAGTGGATGAGCCCCGAGGGCGAGAACTACAAGGTGGAGTACGTGGCCGACGAGATGGGCTACCGGCCCGTCGGCGCGCACCTGCCCCAGGTGCCCGTCGCCATCCTGCGCTCGCTCGAGTGGAACGCGGCCCACCCCGAGGAGGACATGGCCGGCAAGTACCACGCCGAGAAGATGATGCACTGAACGGAGGAGCCGGGCTGCCGTAGGCTGCCGCGCACCGCGGCCACTCTGGCGCCCACGCAGGCAACACAACGAACATGGCTCACCGTTTCCGCTCACCGCCTCCCGAGCGGGAAGGGCAGCTCTCTCAAGAAAATTGACTTTTCATTATGTACCGCTCGCCTCATAATCACGCAAAGGCCATTTTTATGGCACTATTGAATAAATGTTTCAAGTCAAGGGCCATATTTCAATTTTTATTGATTGTCAATTCTCCTAAATATCTACATGACAATACATTACAACTTGTCTGATAGTTAAAACTCACACATAGGAATGTTTTACACATAATTATTATTGCCGACGTATTCTCAAAACTGAAATGTTATCGAATCACAGAAATGGAGGATTCCTTTGTTTGATGAAGCCCTGAGCTTGTATCAGCTCCTCCTCCTTCTTGCTACACACGAAATTAAGCACACAGATTAAATTCCAAATAAAGAAGTTTGAAACAGTTTCACATCACATAAATGCAATACTCTAGACATCCATTTTCTACTGTAAATACCTCACAAGAATATAGGAATATTTACATCTAGAGGAAAGTAGTTATACTACATTTACATTTACCATTCCACTGAAAGTCTTAAAGGGTGAAGTAAGAAAGAGTTTGTGACTTCCCTACACAGGATACAAAGAGTTTCTGAGACAGGGAGATCTAAAAGCATTGGCAACAGTGATACAAATCCATCACAGGGATTTACATTTCTAGAACAGGGATCTATGAAATGTTAGTAAGTAATGTTTTAAATTATTGCTACACTTTGGGCACTCTATCACAGACCATGTCAGGAAATTAATAGCAAATAATTTTAAAAATTTACATAAACTTTTAACTGTAGTGCAGTCACACAAAAGAAACAACGTTTTTATTTGTGCACAGCTATAATGGGATAGAACACAGGTACACAGTTAAATATCTTAAGCACAATGCAAATTAAAGGAGACATCAATCACAAATATGATTGCCAAAATTTGTCCAGATCACAAAATAAGTACATTTACATTAGGATAGGGGAGAATAGGACAGAGTTAGGGAAAATAGGGAAAGATTATCAAACCAAAAAGGAAGGGCTCTCTTTGGTCTCATCAGTCTTAAAGAGGGAAAGAAGATAAAAATAAGAGGGACAAAGATATACAAACATTATAGAAAAGGACCTAATATCTAGAAGGGTAAAACAACAATAATTTTATGTCAGTAGTTCATAAATAGGTTTCTATTTAGTGATATTGAAATAACTAGCTAAAGTGATCAGTGCCCTTTACACACTGGGCTTTAATTTCTGTGACAACTCTATAATACTGGTTCTTGTTGGAACTCAGAATTAAGCGTTACCACAGCACGAGAAATACGTTGTACCATAAAGGGCTCAAGATATACTAATACTTTGTCAAGAAAAATTAAAGTTATGTACATTTAGACAACTGGCACTGCCATTACCCGAAACTGAACATAATATCAGAGAGGCAAAAATGGCGTTCAATTAGTTATAGGACCTACCTCTCCAGTGTTTGTGCAATCACTCATATAATAGCTATGTACATCTATGATAAACATTTTCAATCTAATTTTATGGCTATGTATCTTTTCTGAGACCACTGAAGAAAGTTAAACAAAATAAAACAGAAAAGGTAAAATACAATAAAGGCAACAATTTGTATAATTTGATAATTCAACCAATAGCATCACCAACGAGAAAAATCGTTTCAAAGCATAGTGATATTTTCTGCAAGTCTTCAATAAGTTGTCTTATCACATTTGCTATCCCAGGGCTAGGGACATGGGAGTTCCAAAAAAAGGGTTGGAATTGCATCCACTCCAAACAATGTTAAAATTATTTGGCCATTAATATTCTCTTTAACGAACATAGGAAGGTATATTAGATTGGACGGTGTAATGTTTTGCACCGTAAATTGTGAAATTTCTTGTTTTCAAGGAAGGACTGGGTTTCTTCAATCACCTGAAACAAACAAGGTTCAGGCGCATATAGTACAACACAATAGTACTTACAAATGTACCATTTTGGAAACATTGACTGTGTAGCTCACCTTCTTCATAGGTGATATCTGTATCTTGATCTAGGATATCCCGACAACTTGAAAGTGATGTTTGTTTCTTGAGCTGGAATCAATAGAAACGAAAAGAGCACTTTACACATCTGTTCACCATCTGTCCGTACGGGAAGCCAAGGGTTTTGGTTCTGACTGTGTACCTGGTTTTTCCGTCGCTGAGGAGGTGAGCGCTGGTTCCAAAGGGCTTCCAACTGATCAAAATGCTGGGACTGCGCCAGCGCGGCCTGCTCAGGACCCGGCATCCCGGACGATGGCTGTAAGCAGGAAAAAGGTATACACAATCCGTTGCTCGGCACATCTTTGTTTGCGTCTCAAGTGTGGGATACAGGAGACGGCCAAATTGGGCAGTTGAATTAGCTCTTAAGCTTACCGCGGCGGCCTTGCACTTGGAGATCTCCTCCATGGACGCGGACACGGAGAAACGGCGCTTGAGCCGCTCGTCCACGGCGGCCATCATGATGGACGACGTCAGCTGGCCGTACTTCTTCTGCCACGTGTAGGTGTCCAGCGAGACCTCCTTCTTAAGCAGCCGCCGGCCCGCCCGCTTCGGCAGAGGGGGCCGCAGGTCTGTGGGCAGAACCAGAACTCAGTGTTAGGCGGAGCGCGCCGAGAGCCGAGCGCCTGGGCAGCAGGCCACCCAGCGTCCACCGCGCGCGGCGGCACGGCCTGCCGCTCGGGCTGAAGGCCGCTGAGGGCTGCGGTCGCGGTCACGCACCTTCCATCTCCTTGGGCGCGACGTACGCGGGCAGCGTCACGTAGGTGGCGGGGGTGTTGTGCAGGAAGACGATGAGCATGGAGCGGGAGTCCAGCAGCTGCACGCCGATGCGCGACGCGTCCGACGCCATGGCCAGCCCCAAGATAGGCTGATGCAGCACCAGGGCGGTCAGCGGCGTCCCCTTGTTCACGTCCCACACCATGATGGTCCTGTCCTCGGACCCTGCAAGCAGAGGCTGGCGGTCAGGCCGCGTCCTGGGTGCCGGCAAGCAAGCCGCCTGTCACAGTCACTCACCCGACACGACGAGCGTGCCGTCGCCCGACACCCGCACGCACGTGACGCAGCCCAGGTGTCCGCTCAGCGTCTGCACGTCGTTGCCCGTGTTGATGTCCCAGCAGATGAGGTTGGCGTCCTTGGAGCCCGACACGACGAGCGACTTGTTGGTGACGGACACGGACACGCACGTCACGTCGTCCGTGTGGCCCACCAGCACCTGCGCCAGCTTGCCGCCCGCCAGCTGCCACACCTTGAGCGAGGTGTCCCTGGAGCCGGTGATGAGGTGCAACGAGTCGGAGCTCAGCGCCAGGCACGTCACCTCCTGCGAGTGGCTCACGGAGAAGCGCTCGTCCTCGCGCGTCAGCGACCAGATGCGCAGGCTGAGCAGGCACCAGTTAGCACCACTTAGCACCAGTTAGCAACAGTTAGCACCAGTTAGCATCTACTCTCCCCCACAGTGCTGTTACCTTGTGTCGTCCACCCCAGACACGACGAACTTCATGTCGTGGGTGACGGCGAGGCTGGAGCCCGGGCCGTTGCAAGTCTGCAGCAGCGACGCGTCGTCAGCCACCCACACGGCGAGCAGCCCCGCGCGGTCCCCGGAGACGACGCGGCGGGAGTCCGCTAGCACGCACACGGACGTCACGGCGTTCTGGTGGCCCTGCAGCAGCAACCACGGTCAAGCACCCACCACCAGCAGGCCACACAGGCCAACAGACCGACAGCCTACCTTGAAGGTGGCCACGCACTGGCCCAGCGTCAGTCCCCACACGCGCACCGTCTTGTCCTCGGAGCCCGAGATGCAGAACAGGCCGTTGGGCGCGAACGACACCGCCGTCACGGAGGCGATGTGGCCCTCGAGCGTGGCGTGCAGCTCGGGGGGGTTGAGCAGCCAGATGTTGACCAGGCTGTCCACCGAGCCGGTGACCGCGGTGGTGCCGTCCCTGCACACCTCCATGCACGTGATGGGCGCCGTGTGCACCTGGCTGTTGCGCGACATCTTCCTGGCGTGGCGCGCCGCCACGGGGCCCAGCGACACGGCCACCTCGGCCACGCCGGGCATCCCGGCCACGCCCGCGGCCGCGGACGCCTCGTCGCGGCGGAAGCTCCACAGCGTCACCACGTTGCCCCCTGCAATCAGCACGAACGTGGTGTCATGGCGTTCCAGCGAGGTGGGCGGGGCGCGCAGGCGAACGTACCCGCGGTGAGGAGGAAGTCGTCGCGCTCCGTGCAGCACACTCCCGTCACCGCGTTGGTGTGGGTGTCCAGGGTGCGCTCCAGCCACCCCGAGTGCAGGTCGAACACGTACACCTTGCCGTCCTCGCCGCCCAAAACGGCCCGCCGGTTGTCCGCGGCCAGGCACAGCGACCGCGCCTGCAAGCAAACGGCCGCCACGGCCTCGTCAGGCGAGCGGCGTCGGGGTGGGCTGGGTGGGCCAAGAGCAGGGTATTCGTCTACGCCAGGGTCGGCCTGGCGACTGTGGCTGCCCAAAGCCAGTCTCAAATCGCGAGACATCCGTCGCGTTCCGTCTAACTTAGCTGCAACCCTGCTCTCAGGCCATTCTCATCAGACATTCACACTTATTAGCCAGTACTCTTTGGCATTTCCTGGTGTACAGCAGTTCTATTCTTGGCATTCGAAATAATTAATGGATATTCATATTCACATAAGCGATTGAAGCCTCTCGGGGTGCGCCATCGCGACGGCCTACCTTGGCGCGGTGGCCGCGGAGGGCGTGGATCTCGGTGCCCGTGGCGGTGGAGTGCAGCACGAGCTGGTTGTTGTCCAGCACGATCAGCAGGAACACGGAGTCGGGCGAGAGCCCGATCAGCGACACGCCGGTGGCCACGTTAATGGTGTTGAGCAGCTGGCAGGAGTCCAGCGCCCACAGGCACACCGTCTGGTCCGTCGAGCCTGTCGGGGCCGGGCAGGGGGCCGAGTCAGTGTTACTCCGACAGGTCGGAAAGTTGAACGGTAGATTCCGACCTCAGTAAGGCCTAGCACAGAGAAGACTCAAGGGCTAGGAACTTGGACCGTTGCGACGCTCACCGGACACGAGCACGTCGCCGAAGGCGTTGATCTTGAGGGCGGTGACGGGGCCGCGGTGGTGGTCCACCTTCATCACCCGTCGGCCCGTCGTCATGTTGGCCACGACGATGCTCGAGTCCTCGCCGCCCGACACCACCACGGAGCCGCCCAGCGCGGGCGTGATGCAGAGGACGGCCGCGATGTGCTCGCTGGGGACCGGACAGGGAGGGTTACGCCATGGTTTCGCCGCGCGACTAGCTAATGCTGAGTGCTCCCTGCCCGAATACTCACTGGATCTTGGTGAGGATCTCGTACGTCTTGAGGCTCCAGACGATGACGTGGAGGTCCACGGAGCCCGTGATGAGCTGCGTCGGCGTGGTGTGCATGCAGGTGACGGGGGCGCTGTGACCTGCAAGACAAACACCATCGTCAGGACGGGGGCGACGAAATGAGCAGCAGAGGCGGCGGCACGGCGGCTCACCCTTGAACGTGGTGACGAGGGCGTTGCTCATGATGTGCCACATCTGGGGGTCGATGGGCACGCCGTTGGGGACCACGATGACGTGCTGGCCGCACGGCGTGGGCTCCACCAGGCGCACGCTGTGGGTGCACACCATGCCTGCCGACAAGAGCACGGCGTCAGAGTGAGCGAAAGGGACGGCAGAGGAGGCTCGCAAAGGGAGAAAGGGAGCGGGCCTCACTCCTGATCTGCAGCGGCAGCGGCGCCTGCAGCCACCCGGTGAGGGGCACGAGTAGGGGCCCGTGGAAGCCGTCGCACCACGCCATGGACGCGGACAGCAGGCGGGACACTAGGTCGGGCAGCGGCTGCGGCAGCGAGTCGCGGTCCTTGGGCTGCTCCTGTAGGACATGAACAACGAACCAAACTAGCTTCTCGACGCCATGCGCTAGTTCACAGTGCTGCGGGCCATGGCATGTTCACCCACCTGAGCGGGACGCAGCCAGCACACGAGCTGCGCGGCGAGCTGCAGGGGGTCGCGCACCAGGACGTCGCCGGCCTTGCGCAGGGTGTAGTAGACGAGCTCGAGCGCGCGGTCCAGCAGGAAGCAGCGCGCGTGCTCCAGGACGCAGCGCAGGTAGCCCACGGACACGGTCTGCACGGCGGCCAGCAGGAAGTCGAAGCTGCAGACGGTGTGGCGCAGCAGGTGCACGTGGTCGCCCGCGCCGAGGAGGTGCAGCCAGGCCTCCTCGACGTGCCGCGGGCTGTACGACACGTCGCACGGCGCGTCTGCAAAGGGGCGCAAGCGTCAGACCGTCAGACCAGGCTCTTGCTGCCGCCCAACCCAGCCAGACGACCACTCCGCCCACTACATGTTACCTTGGCTGTCCTGGTCGCTGGCGCTGTCCTCGTCGTCGCTCTTCTTCTGCTGCTGCTGTTGCTGCTGGAGGCGGCGCTGCTCGGCGCGGCGCTGCCCCGCCCGCTCCGCCGCCTCCACGGCCTCGTCGTCCTCCTCCTCCTCCCGGATCAGGTTCCCGGAGAAGTCATCCTCCTCTTCCTCCTCTTCCTCTTTGATGATCTCCCGGTCCAGCGGGTCCTCCTGCAGCAAAGCCCCCGATTAGCCACCTCTAAAGTATGCACCCCGAGTTAGGTTAGTGGATGGTTGGCCTGCGGGTACCTGGGCGGCCTGGGGCGTGCTGCTTCGCCGGCTAGCCAGTGGCAAGAGGGCCTCGTCGCCCTGCGCCAGGTCGGCGATGTCGCCCTCCGCGATGAACTCGCTGAAGAAGAGGCTGGCGATGGCGGCGTGGGCCGACGGCAGGGCGTCGCGGTCGCCGAGGTAGCGCTTCTTGCACCACTGGCGTATCGCGTGGTGGCGCCAGGTGAGCAGCACCTTGCCGGACATCACCTTGGACTGGATCAGCGAACCTGCGGCGCAACAAAGTGTTCCAAAGACAATCAACTCAAGTTTATCTTTCTTTAAAAAAATAATAGTAGACGCCGGGGCTTACCTAGGCTGCGACGCACCCTGCAGAAGGTGGAAAAGTTGAAGTGGCCGTGCTCGAGCAGGAGCGGCGCGGGCGAGGACTGCGCCGTGGGCATGAGTAGCTCCAGCAGCTCCGTCTCGCTTAGGCCGTACTCCGTGCAGGCCAGGTACCCCGCCAGGCGGCCCACCGCCACGCGCCCCCAGGCCTTCTCCATCCGCGTCAGCTCCTGCTCCACCTGCTGCTCCAGGCTCGGTTCTGGAAGAGCACGGAACACAGCTCGTTGAACGCTTCTCAAGGTTCCACCTGTTGAGAGGTTGAGAGGTTCGAGTCGTTACCCTGCGCGGCGGCCAGCCTGATGACGCAGTCCGCGGCGCGGAGGCGTTCCTTCTGCGTGGCGGTGAGACGCAGCGTGTCCGGGCCCGCCGTGCTGGTGGCCACGAGCAGGATGTTGCGCGGCAGCTGCATCGGCAGCCAGGACAGCGCGGCGGGGCCTTGCTCCTGGTCCAGCGGGTTGATGCGTGGCAGGTCGTCCAGCAGCACCAGCATCGTCTCGCCGCTCTCCTGCACGACACGCAGCACGTCGAGCACGTCAAGTAACTTGATGAACTTGATAGGCTGGACCAGCATGATCGTTAGCCGATTCAGGCCCGTCCTGACCACGCCAATCTTGCAGAGCGCAAACCAGGCACGTCACGTACGGCCAGAACGGCGCGCGTCATCAGAGTCACAGGCCTCACCTCGATGCGTTTGGAGAGTCGCTCGAACCACGCCTGCACGTAGGGCTGCTCCAGAGAGGCGTCCTTCGTGATGATGGACTGCTTGGTGAGCACGGCGAACTGCTGGCACAACAAGCGCACCAGCTCCAGGGAGTAGGAGGCGCGGGGCGTGGCACCTGCAGCAGAACATGGTCCGTGAATGGCCGGAAGGAGTGGGGGGAAGGGGGGGGGGATGACTGCCCCTCGCTGTGCAGCGCCGCCCTGGGTCGTGGATCCTCGCCGGCCACACGCGGCGTAACTACTATGCACGGCCTCGGCGCCGCGGGAGGGGGTTCGGCGTCCGGCTGGAATCTAGTTTCTGTGTAAATGATGGAAGGGGCACACCCTTATAAATAATTCGCTAAGCCTTGCCCACAACTCGCAGAGGCGTGTGCCCTCCCTCCCTCTTTCTCTCTCTCTCCTCCTCCTCCTCTCTCTCTCTCTCTCTCTCTCTCTCTCTCTCTCTCTCTCTCTCTCTCTCTCTCTCTCTCTCTCTCTCTCTCTCTCTCTCTCTCTCTCTCTCTCTCTCTCTCTCACGCACAACACTTGCTCACATGCACGCAGCCACTTTCTCACTCATACACTCTCTACAAATCAAAGAGTGTACATGGTACGCTCTAACTGGAGCATGCCTGCAAGCACGCTCTAACTAGCGCATGCCTGCCAAGCATGCACTAACTAGTGCATACATGCCATGTACACGATAACTGAACCGTACATTTACTGCATAAGGGATAGGGAGTTTTCTGCATCAGGAAGCGTGTACATGGCATGTATGCACTAGTTAGTGCATGCTTGGCAGGCATGCGCTAGCTAGAGCGTGCTTGCAGGCATGCTCCAGTTAGAGCATACCATGTACACTCTTTGATTTGTTGAGCTCCCGCCCTGCCCCACTTCCTCGCACGTGCGCGATGAACGCAAAAAAACAGCCGCGCATGCCGCCGCTGCCGCCACCGCGCCGGAAGTGTGACGCTTTGCCGAGAGGGGGGATGCAGGGTAAAGCAAAACCCGTGGAGCAAGCGAGCGAGCGGAAGTACCCACTCCGGCAACTGCGGTCCACAGTGCAAACTCGAATCTAACAAAAGTTTACGACTCATCAAGCCACTTCATAAAGAAACATTTCTTTTTTTCCTGCCGTTGGCTGTTTTTTCCTGGCGCGCAAAACGGCAGTCCGCTTTACATTCGAGCTGGCCGCTGCCGCAGCGAGCCAGCGTCCATGCTGCCGCCCAGCAATCAGCAGTCCACCCCGCCCCCTCCTCTTCTCTTCTCTCACAGTGCCTTTCGGCCCCACCCGTGCGGGCCACCCCGCGATAAAGACAGAGCGAGGACACTGCTGCGTGGAAATCGCTCGGCTGCACCGCGCTGGCTGCAGAGCGCGCTGTGCGCTCTGTTTTTCCCCGCGGCAAATATCAACTGCTCGTGTGCCAGCCCCTCCCCCTTTTCGCTCACCCCCTTTCCGCGGCAGCCCTCCCACCGAAATGAAACGATTCCGGCGCTTCCTGCCGCCCTGCTGACGAAATAAGAAATTCCGCGTGCTCGCACCCCGCCGCCCTGCCGCCCTGCAGTCCTGCAGTCCTGCGACGCGAGGGGTAGGACAAGCCTCGCTGCTCCTCAGAGAGGGAATTCAACTCGTGGGTTACACCCAGTAGCGTGGCTGGCGATGTATTACACGAACAACGGGGATCGCGAATGGCGTTTCCTTCGTTCAACGCCTTCCTGTTTACCAGTGCGACGAACGCGCAGAGTTCATTCGGGCAGGTAGCCGCGAGCGCCTGGACGAAGCAGGGGGCACCGCCAGTCGTGCTCAAAGAGGCTGTTCGGGGTGGAGGCCTGCATAAGCCCCTCAGGGGGGTTGTACACCTCCCTGATTGGTCATACTGCGAGTGGGAGCTTGTAGTCACCCGAGGCTCTTCCCCGACTGGATAAAGTGTCACCTTAGTAAGGACAGCCCTGTCTCGTTTTGCAGTGCTGGCGAGCTTGTGTCGGGCCCGAAATGGCAAACGATATCATGTGTGGTCTAGCCCTTAATGGTACTGGTAATGGGTCGTCGGGTAGCCCAGCCCGCCGCACACTCGCGCGGCGCTGCCCTCTGGCTGCCTACCTGCACGGCGCCTGGGGGCGAATGAGAGCCAGAGAGAGGGGGGAGGGGGGGATAGGGGGAAGGGGCCTACTCACCGCAAAGGCGCACGATGCGGTTGAGCGGCGCGCCCAGCCAGTCCTCGGCCTGGCGGTACACGGCGCTGAGCAGCGTGCTCTTGCCCGCCCCCGTCGGCCCCACCACCAGCAGCGGGGCGTGGCGCTCCTTGGACACATGTTGCGCCTGCAGGCGCTGCTTGAGGGCAGCCAGCGCGCCGCACAGCGGGCCCTGCAGCAGCGCCGCCGCCTCGCCGGGCCCCGGGCCCAGCCGCTGGCACAGCGCGAGGTGACACAGCGCCTCCTGGTAGATATCCTGCAACGGGAGAAGTGGCTCAGAGACCATGCATAGGCCGACCATGGCTGTCACCTTCCCCGCGCCCTGCCACGATGGGTCGCGAGAAAAGCGCGCGGCTGTCGAGCTAAGCCAAAAAGCCCGGCCGGACGGAGCCGAGTGGGGCGGCGCCAAGGCGAGCGGAGCCGAGCCGGACGGAGCCAAGCCGAGCGCCCTGAAGCCTCGGGGATGAGTGGAAGCGGACGGAGAGGCGGAAAGGCAGCCTCCCTCTGTGCCGCTCTGTGCTCAGCCCCACGCCGCGAGGACGCCCGGGACGTGTGTCGTTTCCACACGGGCCTGGCGTCATTCCGGGTAGGATCTCCAGAATCCCTCGCAGGCGAACGCCTTTCCTGTGCGCCCTCGTCGCGTCGCCGCGTGCTCGCTATTTGCACACCGTCCCGCGGTCCCCGCCGCCACCCGCCGCCCTCTCGCAGGGCTAACGTATAAAACCCGTCTGGAGGGAAGACGGATGTATTCAGACGGCATCCGCCACACGTGGAGGGAGAGAGAGGGAGGACCTGGCTGTCTTTATTACACATGCAGAAGCCTTCGCTCACTCTCTCCCCCCCTCCCCCACCCCCTGCCCGTTGCCTGGACCTCTCGGTGGCACGGCTTAGCGAGAGGTTTGCACAGGATGCTGGAGCACGGGCTGGAGCAGGGGCTGGGGCACAGCAGGGCTACAAGGCTTCTCTCTTTCTCCGCATTGAGGAGGGCTCCAGGCCGCTCCAGGCGCACCGCTTCCCCCGCGCTGGAACGGCCTTCACCGGGCCTCCGCCTTCGGCGTGCTTCGGCCGAGTGCCCCGCCCGGCCCCGCCCCACCTCGACCGTGCCGCGAGCCACGTGCTGCCGGAATGAATTTGCATCCCAAAGCGCTGCAGGGTTTTTGTCCAGCGAGGAATTCGTTTCCGCGCCACTCTGCCCCCTCCCCCCGTGCTCCGCCCCATCTTCATCGGAGGGGTGCCGTCGCGAGCGATCTGTATTTTCCCGCCCCGGCGCGGTGGTTGGCCGCGCTGCCGCAGTTCAGCGCGCGGCCGACAGGGGGCGCCGCCGCCGCCAGTGCGGTAATTCCCCGGGGGGGCTGCACGCCTCGGGCGGGACCCAGCTCGGGACACGCTGCGGCCGCGAAACCGCGAGCAGGCCGCTTTGTCTCACTTACTGCGTCACGTCGTGAATACGCGCAGAAACGCTAGTCGCACAATTAATTTGTTGAAAAAAGAAAATGGTTTGGTTTGCCACTCACCATGACGGACTTGTTCTTGACGCTGGGCTCGACGCGCGCACTGATGGCCCTGCGCATGCCGCCGCCCACCACGAGGCGCGCCTGCAGCTGGAAGCTGTCCGAGTAGGCCTCGTCGTCGTGGTTGCCGGACGCTGGGGGCCTGGGGGCAACGCCGGCAACGCCGGCAACGGCGCGGGTCAAACACTAGGCCGGGCAGCCGGAAGACCTGCTCACGTGGACGCAAGGGAGAGTGCCGTTTGTCCAACAACTTTTAGTTCGACCCGACAGGGGGTGGCAACGCTGTTTACGTGTACACGTATTCTGACGCCATATTCGACCCTCCCCCTTAAATTATGATACTTTTCAAGGAGATTCTCTCTGAGTCTTGCTAAGGAATCGAATGAAACTTGAGTGCGGCATCAAGTTAAAAGGTCATGTCTGGACTGGAGAGGCTATCCAACTTTCTGAGTGTGAGAAAGGGGTGGAGGGTTGTTGAAGACTCACTTGACGCTGCCCCTGTTCTCCTGGGGCAGTTGGTCTGCCAGCGCCTGGCACAGCGGCTGCGCCGAGGCCCCCACCACGCTCTGCCGGCTGATGCTCATGATGCCCTTGCTGGCGGCGGGGTCCAGGCCTGCGTACACACTCGCTGTTTAGTTCGCTGCGACACACCCAGATAGCTACGAGGAACGAACGCCGTCGCAGCAGGCGGCCAGGACTTGGTGCTGGGAAGGATGAGGAGGGGGTGGGGGTGGTGGGGTTGGGGATGCGCCCTGCGTGGCCCTCAGCGCGAGGACCTCATCGGTCGGTCCGACGTCGACGTGCAGGCAGGGCGAGGCAGGGGCACGGGACTGCTGAGCTTGCCAAGCTGCTGTGCTGCTCGACGAGGACTGATTTTCTAGCCGAGTCACTGGAAATGGCGCGACAATGAATGGCACCCATTTCCGGAGAGAGCATGCCAGGCAAGCGACGCAAGCGGTCGGGAGGTAGGGAGCATCTGTCTTGGAGACGCGCAGCCCGGGCTTTCCGGCGTGAACGGGTCGCTGGGAAGCGGCCTGACGGGCGACTGTGGTTCAGCAAAATATACTGGCTTCACCAACATCGTTTGGTGCCCTGAATTTCGTTGACGGCGTCGATGGCGCCCCGCGCGCGAGAGAGAGATGGCTGGAGGGTGGGGATCGTGTTGTGTGTGGCGCCGGGATCGGGGGCGTGGGTGAGGGGGTGAGGTTGGGGGCAGTGGGCGGGTGGGGTGCGGGTCGGGAAAGAGGGGGGGGGGTGCTCAGCACGGGACGGGCGGCCGTTTATTTGATTTGTGCGTTAAGGTTCCCCTAAGGGAGTTGTGACCCCCTACTATGTCGCTGCCAGGCTGCCGGTGTGGTGGTGGGGTGGGGTGGGGATGTTGGTGCACGCGCTGGAGCCGGCCGGGCCGCGTGTTTTCGATCAGCGAGGCACGCCAGGCCGGTCGGGCCGCCACGCCGCACGCCGCCATGCCGCACGCCGCCATGCCACCACACCGCCCAGCTGATGGATGGCGATCGCGTCAAACGCACTGGCCCCTCGATGGGGTCGGGGTGGAGTGGGGTGGGGGGCACTTTGTCCAGGCCAGCCGGCCGCGAGCCGCATCTATGACTCGGTAATGGTCTCACTTAGGGCGAACAGCAACTGTCGGAGCAGCCCCGACTGCAGCAGGATGGCCGCTTGCTCCCGGACGGCCTCGGAGGACGCCTTCCCCGCCGCCAGGCGCTCGGCGCCGGTCCGCAGCACGGCCATGAAGCGCTGGAACTCGGCCGTGTCCGCGCGGCTGGCGGGCTGCTGCTCCCTGGAAGGCGAAGACAGACACGGCGCTCTTGAAGGGCCAAACACCCTGCGGTGGCCGAGGCCCCGGCCAAGGCCCTGGCCAATGCGGACTTTAGGCGGCAGCACCTACCTGGGGTTCTTGATGTGCGCCCTGCCGTCCGCCGCCGTGCCGACCCAGCGCTGCAGCAGCACCTTGCCGTCCGGCTCGGCGGCGGCCTCCAGCTCGCGGTACAGCTGCTGGTCCAGAAGCACTGGCGGCGGAGCGGGGCGTGCCTCGTCGCCGACCAGCACCAGCAGGAAGCAGAGCTGGTTGACGGCGTGGCTGTCACGGATGTCCTCCAGGTGGTCGTCGAACATGTGCGGGTCGAGGAGCGGGTCGCACGTGTCCGCCGAGCCGTAGTGCATGTCCACCAACTCGATCTAGAGGACGGCAACAGTGGGGATTGGATTAGCAGCCGCTTGTTTACAGACAGCTTTGCCGGGGCTTTGCTGTTGCTGCTTTGCTGAGTCGGCTCGGGCAGCCTCGCCTGGGCTGGCCCGGCCTGGGGCATGGGGCCGTTATCAAGCGTCAAGCCGCGCGACCGCGGCCAGCCTGGCCTGGGGCTCGCCGCTTGGGGATCGCCGCTTGGGGCTTTGGGGCTTACCTCGAAACCAGAGTTGTCGTACTGCGTCTGCAGGTCGGGCCCCACCTGCTCCAGCAGCATGCGACGCTCCTCGGCGAACTCTGCAACACCAAGGCCACGCCGTGAGGGTGCAGCCAGGTACCAGTTTCCCTTCAATATCCATGGAAAATGTATATAAATTTTGCAACAATTTCAAATATTTCTTGACAGATGGCGGCCTATTTTTTTTTTAATTTTACAGAATACTGAAAGAATTTGATGAGTGTTTGAGACAGACATCATTCCCCGAGAATTGTACTGTGACTGATATGAGCGCCTTGACAGCGAGGCACCGACTCTGCACCTCTAGGTCTAGAGACCGAGACGCCTTGCTTTGGCTTATTGCGTCCGAGACGCTCAGTTTCGGAATCCGGGAATTTCATTATTACTGTGGCAGTGGCAGCAGCGGCAGACATGTCGCCAAAGGTGGCCGCGCCTCTACGCGAAATAACAACTCTGGCATGCAGGATGAAGGCGAAGCAGGCTACTTTTTGATTGCATTCCCGAATAATGATCCTTCCCGGCAACGGTCGGCCGGGCCGCACAATAAAAAAACACGACCACCCCCACGGTACCTCCCACTCCTAGCGCCACAAGGCCGCGGCGCGCTCGGCCGTGGCTCGGCGCAGGATGAGCGCACTGTCAATAAATTGGAAGCGCACGAAGAACGTGGAGGGAAAGGCCGCGCCGCTCGGCCGCTCGGCAGCGAGCACGGCGAGCCTGGGAGTAATCCTGGGAGCAGTCCGCCTAAGCTCGGGCAATAACACGCTCGGGGGAAGCAGGGACGCCGAGAAGCAGCGGGGTCTTTCGGCTGATTGGTGATTGGTCCGATGGGCGTCCCTGTCTTCGCACGTCAGGCTGCCCCGCCAGTGCCGCCGGCAGCCCGGGCTGGCTGTCTGGCTGGCCGGCTGGCTGCGGATCAACCCCACCCTCCCTTTTCTATTGACCCTCCAGAGCGCTCTAGAACGCTTCAGAGCGGGACCATCCGGGAAGCGCCGGCCCGTTGATTAAAACTATCCTTCCCGCGCGGTGCGAGCGGAGCGAGGCAGGCCTTCGGGAAGAGTCCGCCGCACCTGTGGCCGAGGCCCCCGCCGGCCCCCGCCGGCCCGGCGGCCCTGGACTGCGGCATTCCTTGGGGACGCGACGACGCCGCCCGGGGGAGGGGTGGCGCCACTGGCCCGGCCGGCGATAGGCGCGCCCCTCGGAAACCATTCACGCCACTTTGAAAACTTTCAGTTTCAATTGACTCGATCGAAGAGAACGTCGTGGGAAAAACACCCCGGTCCCGTTTCTGTGAACTCAGAATGTAATTTAATTGCAGTGACGCTTCAATTGCTTCGACCCTCAATGGCAGCGAGTGGCGGTATATGGCGCTCTGACAGGCCTGCAGTGTGACGGCCACTGTTTACTCTGCTCCCTATTGACCGTTCGCCGGGTCGGCAGCGTTGTGGCCTGGAGGCAGTGGGGACCGACCGCGAGTTTTGGCGGTGTCGTCCCGGTCGTCCGGTAGCGCTGCGTGCATGCGGGCAGCGCGGCAGCGCGTGGGGTGTCTGAGCCGATATCGAACACACCCAGGGCGCGACGCGACACGACACGACGACGCGCCGCGAGGGGAGGGATTATCGGTGGCAAAGGGAGGAAGCCGAGCGGCGTGAGTGGCCCGGGCGTCCGCCTGTCTGTCTGCCTGCCTGTCTGCCTGTCTGTCTGTCTGTCTGTCTGTCTGTCTGTCTGTCTGTCTGTCTGTCTGTCTGTCTGTCTGTCTGTCTGTCTGTCTGTCTGCCAGCAGTGCCCTTGCTGGCTCTGAACAGACAACGAATTTACCGCCGCTGGAGTAGCTGAATTTCTCTTATTTTTAGCTGGGGACACTTTTCACGCCCGCCTGAAAGATTGTTCCCAAAATTATTCCATTATGAAAAAGTCAGCTAGCCCTCGCGCGGTTCGTATTTAACTTAAAACGGCTTTTCTCTTTTATTTGTTGTTTCTATGTGTTTTCTTACTGTATGCGAATGCAATGCAAAACAGCTAGAGAGGATAACGACTGTATATAGATAACGCCGGTATATTTTTAGACGCCCTCGCGTCCTATTTACATTCACTTCCGACCAATCCTTTTAATTTTTTTATTTGTTTTAAAGGACAGACGGAAAACTTACACTTTTACGCGTGAGTTTTTGTTGTTGTTTTGGTTTCTATTTTTGGCGGTTTGCTGGAGTGGCGGCCGCCTGCGGGCGCGCCGCGCCAAGTTTTATAGGTCGATCGCCGGGAGTGGCGCGACAAGCCGCCCGGCCAGGATGGCACACTCGGTGTACACACCCAGCCGTGAAATGGTATGGTGCACGCCGTGCGGGGCGCAAGAGGGGCATTTACAAACTGGGTCACTTTCGGACCCACGCGCGCTGCCCGGGCTGCCCGGGCTGTCGCCACATGACCGACATGACGGGGGAATTGCAGAGCGACAGTTTTGCCAGCATAATCCATACGTGACACGGGACGCGTGCCGCCCCAGGCGTTCGCGGGGCCCTGGCGGGGTCCTGGCCGCTACACGCGTCGCGCGCGCCACCCCCTCGCCGAGGACGCTTTTATTCCAGCCAAACCTAATAATACGCCACACAGGGAAAAAAAAAATTCAAAACGGAGCCGCGGGCTTTGCGTACGTAATAAAATACATGGGTAATATCGTTATCCAAACGCTAAGGTAGGTTCTCTCCCATTGTTATCCGCTGGAAATGAATCAAATTGAAAGGACTCCGCTTGGAAAGAGCAGCTGGTGCGGACCCCCTGCGGACCCTCACAGTGACGACCTTCTCTTCCCTAACATCGATTAAGAATTGACGCCGAGGCCCGATGACAGCATTGGCCCGCAGGCGGGCGGGGCGGGGCGGGGCGGGGCGGGGCGGGGGGCGGGGCGGGGCGGGGCGGGGCGGGGCGGGCGGGCTGCCAGACCCTCCTCGGCTCCTCGTCTCAATCATTGATTACTTCGGCTGGCGGGGCGCCATCGCGGCGTGCCAACTCTCTCTGTCGCACGCCATGCGGCCTGCAGGGCCTGCAGGTCTTGGAGGGCTGCTCAATGCTCGCGGAAACGAATCGGTGGCATGGATCCTGAGCCTGGAAGGGGGCATGAGACAGCGAGCGGTAACGGCCGGGGGAGGAAGATACTTGAATTATTTCGGTCAACATTTTAATTTTGACACTTAGATCGAGTTGTTGAACAAGCGTACACAGTTTCGGTGCCTGTTTCCCCCTCTGACAGGAGAGGACGCCAGCGAGCCCCACCGCAGCCGTCTCGAAAGGAACGGAAATTGCGGAGTTTGGAATCGACACCCTGACGTCAGTCAGTTCTCCGTTTTTGCCAATTGAATCGGTCCGTGATCTACCGCAGAGCGAAAGAGCGAAGAGCGAACAATTCTGCGATGTGCCGACTTCGGAATGCCTGCGGCGGTTCTGTGGCGAAGAGGACGTCCGCCCGCTTCGTTACAAAAAGTTCCCCCAACTCACTGGCCGGGCCCTCGGGGCGGTGAATTTGGCCTACAAGCGCCTACAAGTAGTCTTCTTCTCTCGCCGGCCTCCGGCCCCTCCCCTCGGCTGGGGCTCCTTCCGCCTCCCCGCCGCCTCCCCGCCGCTGCGCCCCCGCACACCGACCGACCCACACGCCCGTCAACAGCAGGCACGACGCCGACGGAGCCGGAGCCGGGACAAGCCGGGCCGCCCGCAGGCTCATTCCGAGAGTCGTTTTCGTCGCTCTGTCTCTCTCGCACTCATTATGGGCCGTCCCGTATAGGTGCGAGAGAGACAGAGCGACGAAAACGACTCTCGGAATCTGTCTGCTGGGCAGTAGCATGTCGTCTACGCGAAGCTCCTTCCCCCTGCATAACCGCGGCCACGAGCCGAGCCGGCCAAGCCAGGCAGCCCGGCCTCATCACCGCCAAGCCCAACAAACACTCACCGGCCTTGTCGCAGCAGATGAAGACCTTGACCTGCTTGGGCGCGGGGAGGGCGTTGCTGGTCCGCGTGCGCCCCCGCAGCACCTCCAGCACCTCCTCGGTCGCCATGCTGCCGCCGCCGCTGCAGCCGCTGCAACAAGAGGAAAGGCATTGCCCTGAATAAGCACCGTCAGATGAAAGGTGCACTGAAAATCAAATAGTGATACATCTCACTCTCTGAGGGATGAGACATAACTGTCTCACCGAAAAAATGGTGATACTAAAATGTATCACCGAAAAAATAGTCGTACACGCATGTATCACCGAAAAACTGGTCGTACACGCATGTATCACCGAAAAAAAGGTCGTACACTAATGTATCACCGAAAAAAGGGTGATACTTCCCCAGGAAAACAAGGGCTAATCTCGCTGATGTCTCACCGTTTTTTCGGTGATACTTTTTTGTACGACCCTTTTTTCGGTGATACATGCGTGTACGACCATTTTTTCGGTGATACATTCGTGTACGACCTTTTTTCGGTGATACATTTTGTATCGCCGAAAATTGGTGAGATGTCTCACCCTTTGAATTTCAGTGTGTTCCAATTCCACGGGGGGCTTCACAGTCCCCCTTTGAAAGCAGGGCGCTTTTCACCGCGGCCGTGTTTTTCCACCGCGTCCATACGGCGCTGCGAGGCCGTCGCCGTGAATCATGGAGCGGCACGCCCTGCCGGCCCTGCCCGCCCCCACGGCCCCACGGCCCCACGGCCCCACGGCCCCCACCTCCACGGCGACAATGCTGCGCTCATCTCCATTGTAAATGCGGGGCCGCTGCCAAACTGTGAGTGAGCCGAGTGCTCAGTCACGACGAGGCGCGGCGCGGCGGGGCAGCGGGGCGCGCAGGCTGGCTGGCTGCCCGTCTGCCTGCCTGCCTGGCCGCCGTGCCCGCGGCGGGGGTGGCAGCGGTCGCTCAACCCCCATCGGCGCGGAAGCGACACGGCGCGCTAAACTCCATTATTATTTTCACTCGGCGACGCGTCGCGACAACAAAATAAAAGCGGATCGGCGCCGCGCTCAAAATGGATATTCTGGGCGGGGCACGGACACGGCACCAATAAATGGGGCCGCCGTCAAACTGGGGGGTCGGGGACACCGAGGAGACGCCTCGCTCGGGTAACTACGAGGACGAGCGACGAGCGCAAACAAATATAATGAAACTTTGTCAGGCGGAGCTGGAGACGCGCTCCGCTCCACCGGCTTGGCGGCCCGCGCAGCCCCGCGCAGCCACTGCCGGCAGGCGGGCCTTGAAAGCAGCAAAGCGGCACAACAGTCACAGAGCGCGCAGCGCCGTCCAAGTTGGGCCGCGGCTGCGGCAATCAGCTTGAGAGCAGCGCCGCGGTAGCGCCAGAGGTTCGGCTACGGCGCGTACGGCAGCCGAGAGAGCGCCTGCAGGAGCCGAGGTAGGCCGGCCCGTAACGCAGGCGAGCGCGCCGCGTGGCCTACCCGGCCGACTGCAGGCGCTAGGCTTCACTTAAACGGGTGCGCCACTACAAATGAACGACACTTTCGGGACCAGCGCAAGCGGGCACAAGCCTTGCCTGCATTGCAAATCATTGCAAAACGCGACGCACAGCAGGCGGGGCGGACCGGGGCAATGCGCGAGCCAGAAGCGACCAGAAGAACAGGCAGACTCCGTACTCGTATTAGTTTTAATGGGGCCTCGAATGGGGCACGCTGCTGATACTGATCCACTGGCTTCATTCAAGACTGAATATTGAGCCAGAGGTTTCCCCGGGGCACTCCACCGGCATGCGGCGCGCCGTTCGCTCCGGAGCCCCATTGGGGGTCCAAGTTGCCCGCACAGCGAGCACAGCGAGCACAGCGAGCGAGGAATGCAATCAGCCACGGCAGCGTCAGCCTGCGGCGCCGCGGCGCCGCGCTGCAGGTGGAGAGGACTCACCTTTCAGCCCAGCCAGCCGACTATGATGCCGGCTCGCTTTTCGCAGCGCGGCGGCGGCGGCCTGAGTTCCACCCCCTCCCCCGGATTACCTCCACACTGACGCTTCTCTGCCCGAATTCGGCGCTATTCTAATCCCGAGTTGACGAGCGGGCCGACGGGGCGCGGGGGCTCCACGTGGGTAACGTGGGGCGGGGCCGGGCGGGGCTCAGTTTCCGCCACGCCTCACTTGACGCGCCCCGCCACACCCCAGGGGCCCCGCCCGGCCCGGCCCCGCCCCGCCCCGCCCCGCCCCGCCACACCCGACAGCCCGAAGGGTCAAGAGGGAAAAGGCGCCCATGCTGACAGGGACGCAGGGCCGCAGTGCCGCAGGGCCGCAGGGCCGGGGGCCATGGGGGGCCGGAGGACCAGCCGGATACCCCCGCGGGGCGGTAGTCTTCCGGCGGCGCGACGTGCCCTCGTAGCTGCTATCCCGGGCGACGGCATGGCGACGGCATGGCGACGGCATGGCACGGCCCCCCTTCCCCCGTCTTGAAGCCCTCCGTGCCACACCCGCAATTAAGGGCGCACATTCTGCGTAGCCCCCTCCCCTTCTCGGGCAGTGAATCAAATATGCATGAGAGGTAAGTGGACTGTGTCGCCATGGGAGGCCACGTGTGGCTGGGCCGCAGCCCCAAGCACCCCTGGGCGCTGTGCCCGGGCGTGCCACACCTGGGCCGCCCCACCTAGCCACCGAGCCAACAGGCCAGCCAGCCAACGGGCCACCGCCCGGCCGTCCGCGGCAGGCCGTCCGCCCGGCCGTCCGCGCAGACAGACCGACTATTACTCTTATCGCGGCGGCCATCTCGGTTTGGCGACGGCGCCAAGTTTCCCTTTGTGCGCTGGTTAACGAGGCGCGTTATCTAAAAATTAAAACGAGCAGGGAAACACGGCGCGGCTCGCGGCGGCTCGGGCCGAGGCCGACGTCACGGCCCACCCTCGCTCGCCGTCGGCACGGCCTCGGCCTCGGCTCGGCTCGGCACCGAGGCCTGGTTGAGATGCCGCCGAGCGGACCCAAAGATTTAAGTCCCGCGGCGCTGGGTGCGGCGCGGCGGCAGGCAGGGCAGCAAAGCCAGCAAAGGGACAGGCAGGCCGCGCGGGGAAGGGGAGGGGGGAGGGGTCGGAGGGGCGGCGGCAACAGGTCTCGAGTAAACTGCGCAACTCTAAGCAGCCATGGGGGAGCGGCCGACGGGGCCGACCCGCCCAGCTCCGGGAGGTTATAGTCGCAAACAAAGCAGCCGCTCGGGTAGCGGGACGAGCGGCTGGTGACGGTGAGTACGGCCAAGTTGGCCGTCGCCGTGTTGAGGACTGCCATGCCCGGCCATGCCCCGCCGCGGCCACGTGTGCGCCCTGCCCTGCCGCCAGGGTGCCGCAACCCGCTGCCGAGGGCGCGGCACACGAATCGCGGTCGCGGCGCGGATTGGCGGAGAAACGACGCGGGAAGCGGGTGCAGGGAAACGAGAAAAGTATTGTCCGGACAGGGAGGTGCCTTGTATAATTCCTTTCTCGCAAATGGCGAATGGCGGCGAGCGGAGCGGGCAGCACCATGATTAATCCGGGGAGAGAGGGAGGGGGGAGGGGGAGGGGAGGAGAGAACAAGCGCCAACTTCGCCGCTACTTTTATCCCCGCCACCGCGGTTCCGCGGCTCGGCTCGGCGGCCGGGCGACCGGGGCGGGCGGCGGCCGCGCCTGGCGGCTAATGGCGTTCATAACGACGGCTGCCCGCCCGGATTGCCGCCGATCCATCGCGCCTAATTTATGTGGCCGCCCGTGCGGCCGTCCGTCAGCGGCCAGCGCGCAGATTTGTCGGACGAGACTCCGGACACGCAGTGTACACAGCACCGAGACCACACGCACGGCGGCACCAGAAGACATCTCACAGTTCAAGCAGCGCGGCAATCTACATGGCATGATTGCTTCAGTTCCGTACAACGAAGATATAGGGCGAAAAACCGATATGCGTCCGCTTTTTACGTAACACCGCCCTTCTGGGCCTCTGTGCCGGGCTGCCTCGTGCGGACGAAACCAAGGCGACTGCCAGGGCCGCCGAAACGACGACCCTGTCACTTCGACAAGTGGATGATTGGCAGTGGCACGACGACCGATCGAACATCGAATCGATTCGTCTCGACTGCACCGAGTCATGCTTCGCTTCGCTCGGTGGCGCGGTCCACTCCGACGGCGGTGGGCAAGGGCACGCGAGGGCGAGGCATGACGCAGTGGTCGGCCAGAGACGCAGGGTCCCAAACATGCCGCACTACCGTCATGGTCCTAGGTCCCAGCGGCGTGGCTGGGCAGGCTCAGCACGCTCTTCCCGAAAGGCACGCACAAAGTGGCGTTCAATTTTCACCAGACTTAGTGCGATCTCAGTCCGGCCCCGTTGCACTAGTTCTGATTGTACATTTTACTATCGTCGTCGCACTGTTGTAATGTTGACACTTTTCCTTACAGTGTGGGGCATGGCATTGGAATAATCAACGCACAACTCTCGCGTTACCCCCGAGGATCCAGAGACAGTTCTAGTTGTGCTTATCTCCAGATGCCAAACGGCACTGCTTGTCAAAAGCATGAGGGAGGGGGGAGAGGGGAGGGGGGCTAACCCGGCCGCCTTAACTTGGTAATGAGCTGCAGGGCCTTGCTGCCGTGCGCTTGGCGGTGCGAGAACTTGGCGGCTTGACGGAGTGCAATTGGTTCGCAATGTGTCCCTCCTCATTAATAAAACGGCAGGAGCTCCAACTCTGCTTCTTTCTTCGAGGAGAGGGGGAGAGCTGGCTCGCGGCCCGTGTCCAGGCCCAGGGGAAGTAGGGGAGGGGGCGGTCACCGCGAGAAGTAACTTTGCGGTGCTCGTCGCGGCGTCTTAGCCCTGCTCATCAAGTTGCCGACGAGGCGTCGGCTGCGTCGGCCGTCCGGCCACCGGCCAAGGCCCCGGCCCAGCCCCGGCCACGCCGCGAGTTATCCCAAGATTTACAGACTGCGGTCTCTATAGACGGCGGGGACAAACTTTGGCTGGGTGCGCCCGCCTGCCCGCCCGCCCGCCATCGGCCGCCTTCAAACAATCGTGTTTGATGGGTCTGGCACCCCTTGCTGGGACTCCCGCCCGTCAGCACCGTCCGCCCCGTCGGCACTGCAAGCAGCCCAAAGCAGCCCTTTGGCGG